CCGGGCGGGGGCCTGGCGGGCTGGCGGCGCCGAGAACGGAGCGTCCCGGCAGCAATCTCGGCCTCCGCGGGGAGCAGCGCCCTGAAAGGTACGCGGGCGCCAGGCCACGGCCAGGCGGGGGTGCCCGGGTCAGGACGCCCTGCAGAGCCACCTGCTCCCCCACCCGTCCCCCCATCCCCGCCCGGGGCCAGGATCCCTCAGTGTCCGGGGTACCCCCAGGAACCCGCTTCCTGAACTCCGGAGTCCGGTCCGCATGAACCCGGCCCCTAGCCTCCTTCCCGCCCTTCCTAGAGCTGGTGTGGGGCCGGCGCTGGAGGAAACCAGGGTCTTGAGGGGAGCCATCCCTTCCCGCCCCGTCGAAGCTCTGGAGCCTTGCGCACTCGAGCGACGCGGACTGCGCGGCCTCATGCCCGGCGCGACGGGGAGAAACGCGGGGCCCCGAGTCAGGACTCGGTGAAACGGCGCTAAAGCCGGGAAGTGGCGGCGTAGACGGGAGCGCGTCCCCTGGACCCAAGAGGCGGTGCGGGGCGGAAAGAACTAGAAGCCGAGGCCAGCTCAGCCTAGGAGCGCGCACACGGGCCGGTCCCCTGCTCCCGGGTTCTCACCTGCTTTGTGGAAAGCAGTTTGGCAGTTTGTACTAAAAGCGGAGATGCCCTATAGCGCTGCCCTTTAACCTCGCTTCCAGGGGTCTGTTCCACAGAAGGAAGAGTAATTGCGACCCAAAGGTGTTATGTTTGAAAAAGCAATCACTAGGGTGCTGCCTGAGCGTCCACCGGTGGGGAAGTGTTTAAACGAGTCACGGCCCCCCCTTTCATGGGATACTTTGCAAGACCATGCATGTGGACTAGGAAATAGGTCTGTGGTATTAGCCAGATTAAGTACTGGCATAAACAATCTCTCTCTGCTGTTAAAAATTTGTTTTATGTATACACAGATTGGTATAAAAAAGAAAAATTCACAAAGCTTTCGAGTGCAAGTTGCCATAGCTTACCTGTGTGTGGCGGGCAGAGTAGATGGGCGGTAGAAGAGTGGGCTTTTGGGGTGTAACGGATCAGTGCTCCCCACTCTGGGACCCCTGCAAGTTTCTGCCTCCTCAGCCTTTGTCTTCATGTAGCGAAGGGGAAACAGTGCCTATTGTGAGGGCGGAGGTGCCACAGCGCAGCAGAACCAGGCACAGGGAGGCCCAACAATCCTCCATTCCTTTGCGTAGTTTTCTTTTTTTCATTTTTGGGATTAGGACAACCTTTAAATCTTTGTGTTTTTCAAATATAAGTTTGGGTGTTTTTTTTTTTAAGATCAAAATAGTTAAAACCAGATGGTGCTAGTCCTGCTCCCTCAGGCCCCATGGCCCTGATTTGCAGGAAGGCAAATGGGGTCTGCCCAGGCCCTGGCCCAGGGAACCTCCTAACTGCTCTGAGAGGCCTTGGCATCCATCTGGCAGATGCTGGGGAAATCTGAGGACCCCAACACACCTGGTCCCTGCCCCCACTGAGCCCAGAGGAGAGAAACAGAACACAGTTACCACGTGTGTAAGAACATGGAGGGTATTGGAGGACCAGGATGGGGCCCGTGGACAGGGCATCAGGGGAATCGATGAAAGGTCCAGAGGAGTAAGACTGTCCACCTGACTCAGTGTTGGTGCACAGCCAGGGACTAAACGGAACTTCTAGTGGGCATCTGATGCCCATGCCTCTTCTAGGGTGAGCTCTTGTTATTGCCATGTTCCAAGTGTCTGTGGCAGGAGGGGCCTCGCAGAGCTGGTCTGAAGGTTGACACAGTCAGCCTGTGGTCAGTGCTGGCCGTCGTCATGACTGCCGTCTTGTTTGCAGAGGGCCCAACTCGACGCGGAATGCAGAGCTTCCTGAAGCTGCTGAGGGGGAGTGAGGGCGCCGGCCCGCCCTTGGCGGAGCTGGTGACCCTCGCAGGCAGGCTGTGCCGCGACCTCCAGGACGACCCCATCCAGGTGCAGCCCTTGGTCACGGCCGTGCTGGACAGCCAGCTCCGCCTGCACCTCCTGGACAATGCGGACGTGGCCCTGGTGTGCGCCCGCGTGCTGACCCAGCAGGAGCAGCACCAGGACGCCTGCCGGCTGCTGGAGGTAGGAGTGGTCTGTGGGGGGTGCAGAGGCACGCAGCGGCCACCACCGTCCCAGCATGGTCTTTATTTATTCACTTAATGTGCCTGTGGTACATTTTGCTACCCAAATACTGGTATGTTTGATAGCAGGATGTTGCCTGCCCCAGATTATACTGGGGTGGTGCATATTATGTAGTATATACCTGTGTTACTTCCTAAAATCTGAGAAATTCTGAATTCCAAAATACATCTGGCTCAAAGGTGTTCAAATAAGGGATTTGGGAGTCAGTTTTTCTCTCTTTTACCACATATTACAGTCCATGCATAATTCCTGCTGAGTTTACCTTCAAGATGCTCAATTCTTTCCAGTTCTATTTCCACTGCCCCTCCCCACCAGCCATGTGATGTCCTCTTGGCTGCTCTCCCTATGTCCTCTCCTGCCTCCTTGATCCGTTCCTCACGTAGCAGCCAGAGGGAGTTTTAAAACTGCAGATGGGGCCATGCTGTGCACCTGCCTGCGATCTGAGCCCGCCTTCTCCACAGTTTCATCTCCAGACACTCCCTGGGCTTCCTCCACAATAACTGTGCTGGCTTCCTTGCTGTTCCTACAACTCCTGAGATATTTCTTTGTCTCAGGACCTTTGCACGTGCCATTCCCTCTGCCAGAGGCTAGAGCCCGACTCTTTCTGTGGCTGGTGCCTTCCTACCTGGTTTCTGCTTTTTTTTTGTGACGAAGACTAGCCCTGAGCTAACATCCGACGCCAATCTTTCTCTTTTTTGCTGAGAAAGATTGGCTCCGGGCTAACATCTGTGCCCATCTTCCTCTATTTTCTATGGGACGCCGCCTCAGCATGGCTTGACAAGCGGTGCATCAGTGCACGCCCAGGATCCGAACCTGTGAAACCCCGGCTGCCGAAGAGGAGTGTGAACACTTAACTGCTGCGCCACTGGGCCGGCCCCTCTGGTTTCTGCTTTAAATGTCACTCTACCTAGGCACTGCCCCCTTATTGTAGTACAGCCCCTCGTTCCCCACTCTGTGGCTCCTTCCTCAGTTCGTGATTAGAAGCCTATTTATTTGTCAGCCTGTGTTGCGTGTGCCTCCCGCACTGCACTGCAGGCCCCGTGAGGGAGGAGCTGCTGCGGTTTTCCTCCTTATAGGATCCTTGACACCCAGCGTGACACCTGCAACATAAGAGGGGCTCGGTTTTTCAAATCCATCAAAATAAACGGATGAAGTAAACAAGCTAGGGGACACACAATTGGACTTGTAATGCGTGCCGTGAAGGCAGTCAGTGATGCAGAACTCCCGGGAGAGGGTACAGACTCAGGCAGGGTGGTCTAGAAACGTCTCTGAGGAGGTGACATGTAGCTGAGACCTGAGTGATGTGATGGGGCCGCCACACCAAGAAAGGGCACTTCCTGCTCAGGGCCTCCCCACAGGCAGGGAGGTTGTGCGTGCGTTCCCTGACAGTGTGCCCCAGGCCGATGGCTGCACCCTGGCTGGAGGCTGCATGCCACAGCCTGGAACATGAGCTTTTTCTGACCCGTGGAGAGGAAGCTAAGTGATTCTCAGCACCTCCCTCCCCAAGAGGGTTCTGGGAACACGAGTTAAAGGCGAGAACCACACACACTGACCGCAGGGGCCCTGTCTGGGGGAGGCCAATGTCGGGCGTCCTTGGCCGTCTCCAAAGTCTGGTTACATGAACAAGTCACACTGGATTGGTGAGCTGTCACTGGCACAGACCTGGACCCCTCCATCCCACGTGGCTCAGAACGCGCTCGCTGAGCACCCAAGGGGTCAGCCCTGCTGGGTGGGTGAAAAAGGTCATTCACGTAAGACATGGGTCAAGCCTCAGACCCTCAAACCTGACCATGTGGTTCTAATCGCAGCTCTGACTCTCGTGTGCCCTGTGGCTGCAGGCCAGTCGTTTGCCTTCTCCTTGCCTCGTGCTCCTCACCTGTGAGGAGTGACAGAGCCGTGCTCACCTCGTGTGCTTCGTGGGAGGCTGAAGGGCTGACGTGAGCCGGTGGCCTTGGAGCCAGCTGCACGTCAACGAGCAGCTCTTCCCAGGGGTCAGGTTGGGTCGGATGGCGGTGCTCCAGGGTGGGCGAGGGCAGCCAGGTCTCAGCAGGCTTTTCTTGGCAGGGCTGCCGGGTGCCGGGTGGCAGCCAGGAGCTGGTGCAGCTCTGGAACGACATCCACTACCGTCTGGTCATGAAGCGCCTGGGTGTGGCCACGCTGACCCCGGTGCAGAGGTTCCGCTGCAGGAAGAGGTACGCCCCGGCCTTCATTTGTGCTTATTCCCTGAGGCTCCCAAGGGGTGTGCGGTCCAGAACCACAGAAGGGCTGAGGTGAGACAGAGGAAGGGAGGCAAGGGCAGGAAGAGGCAGACGAAGCAGTAACAGTCCAAAGGTAACAGGCTCAACGTCACCCGCTGTAGAGCCGCGCTCTCCACCTGCTGGGCCGGCCACGGGGGCGCATTCGTACCTGTCATGTGGGGCGAGGAGAGCGAGCCGTTCCAGGACCAAGACAGAGAGCTCTAGCTGCAGCAAGAGCCACTGCCCACCAGGGAGGGCCCCGCAGGGAGGGAGCCAGCAGGTGGGCACCTGACCCCACTCTCCTCTTGTCTCCTCCTGTGGGAGACAGCCAGCACATGTGCCTCAGGGCATCTCGTCCCCACAGTCAGGACCTTTTAAAGAGAGAAAGGGGAGAGTGCTGCAGCCATTAGACAAGGTACATGCATGGCACGTAATGGATGCTGAACAGATGTTAATACCAGTTACCACCATGACGATTATCAGCACTAAGCGTTATGACTACTAACTATTATTACTATCATCACCTGTCATGGATGAGGAGACTGAGGCATAGAAAGGTTAGTAACTTGCCTAAGGTTACGCACAAGCAAGATGAAAAACCAGTATTCCAGCCCAGACACTGAGATGGTAGAGCATTTGTTCTTTTTTTTTTTTTTGTGAGGAAGATCAGCCCTGAGCTAACATCCGTGCTAATCCCCCTCTTTTTTGCTGAGGAAGACCGGCTCTGAGCTAACATCTATTGCCAATCCTCCTCCTTTTTGTCCCCCAAAGCCCCAGTAGATAGTTGTATGTCGTAGTTGCACATCCTTCTAGTTGCTGTATGTGGGACGCGGCCTCAGCATGGCCGGAGAAGCGGTGCGTCGGTATGCGCCCAGGATCCGAACCCCAGGCCGCCAGCAGCGGAGCGCGCGCACTTAACCGCTAAGCCACGGGGCCGGCCCGGAGCCTTTGTTCTTGATCTTGGGTGTTCCCCCCTGGCCAGGAGGGGCTTCAGATCTTGCTTTGAGCCCCTGGCAGCCCAAGTAATGGGGATTCCTGAGCCATGGGGCCTGGTTGATGGCCTGGTTACTAGAAGAAGAGATGGATTTCTTTTGGACCAGAGAGAATTTTCTTCATGGTGCCCGCCACAGAGAGTGAGATATATCCTTGAAGCCTGGCAGTTAATCAGCCTTGGGGTCTGCAGGGATGCAATCACGTCCCTCCATATAGGTGCTGACAGCCTGCCAGAGTGCAGTTCAGCAAAGTAGACGATTTGGGGACCAGCATGCAGTGTCTGTGAAGAGGCCCCTGATTTCTGGGTGCTATTGGAGGTGCTGGTGATACAGACTGGGCCCTGCTCTCCTGGAGCTGATGATGGGTGTGGATGATGGACGGTAGACAAGGAAGCAAAGTAGGTCCCATGATTCAGAGCGAGGAGTGCTCGACAGAATGTGTTCAGAGGAGGACCATGACTCATTGGTTCTTTGCTGTAGGGAGGGGGCTGCAGCACAGGCCCAGCCTTGGAGGAGAGGCCTGAGCACAGACCTGTCCCTGCGGTCCCTGGGGGCATCAAGAGGGAGTGATGTTGGAGTGATAGCAGATAGCGGTGCAGGAGCAGAGGCAGGAGGTTCTGGAATCTCTGGGAGTGGCCAGAAAAAGGGTTCTGTCAGGATAGATTTTGGAGGATTTGCTGATGGGTTGGATGTACTGGAGGCAGTAAAGATGGAATAAAGCCAGACTCCAGGGCTCTGGGCCTGATTGGCTGGAACACGGTGGCTTCTCACCAAGATGCACAGGACATGGGCTGGGGAAGATTTGGAGAGGGGGGGATCGAGCTCCATTTGGTTTGTGGGATGTGTGGGATGCATTTTTGACGTCCATGGGCATTTGTTCAACTGCTGTTTGGATCTCAAGTCTTGTATAGATAGGTGCTGTTTGTTTACATGTCACTTTTTTCTTTTGGAAAAATTCAAATATACAACAGTAAAGAGAATAGCATAACCAACCTCAATATCCTCATCATCCAGCTTTAACAGTCATCGGCCACTGGTCAGCGTTGGCATCTCAGTGAGTGATACTGGAAACCCTGGTGAGACCCCATGAGAGTGTGGAGCAGAGTATGGGCCCCTCCCTTGTTCAGGGGCTGGACCCCTGGGGCTTTGCAGCACACAGCGAGGCGAGGAGGAGTGGCCAGTGAGATGTGAGGAAGTCCAGGGCTGTGTGGTGTCTGGGAGCACATGAACCGCATCCAGGAGAAGGGGCTGTAACCACCTCCTCACTGTCCTCATCCAGGAACCCACCACCCCCAGCCCTCTGTCCTGGCGGCCTGAAGAGCCGGAACTTTTCCACAGAGGTTCGCCAGAAGCTGCATGATTTCGCTTCCGGCGTGAGCACCAACCCCAGCAAGGCTGAGCGGGTAAGAGCTGACAAGAGGGAGGCCAGGCAACCCTCCCCTTAGCTGCCACTGCATCCTTAGGGGACCCTACACCCTCAGTTGTCCCTCCGCCCTTAGGTGACACCCCCTTAGGCGACCCCCAGCCTGAACCTCCCCAGGCCTCCGGAGTGGTCTGTCTGCCAGGCCGCTGGTGGTCTCCGCCTCTCCTTGAACTCCCCTGGGGACAGGAGCTCGCTGGCTGGCAGCCCCTGGCCGTGCAGCCTGCACACGTGGAGGGTTTCGTTTTCTCACGTGGGGTCATAATATCCCCAGTCGGTGTGGCTTCAACAGCGGTTCACTGAGCACCCACTGCGGCCAGGCCCGGGGTACCAGGGTGAGGAGAGTCGAGCATCTGCCTCCGTGGAGCTTCCAGCGAGGGGGAGGCAGGTGCCCGCGGAGGCCAGTACCTGCCGAGGCTGGTGGGCGCCATCCGCGGTCCCCGGAAGGAGGAGGGATGCAGGGGGGTGAGCTCGCGAGAAAAGGCGAGACGGGCAGGACGGAGTTTCCTGCCGCTCAGAAATCTGGGCGGCCTCTTTCCTCCACGTTTCTGCTCTGTCCAATCAGCGGGGCTCTCCTGTGTGGCTCCACCCGCTTCTCTCCCCATCCAATCAGCAGAGCTTTCCCAAGTGTTCGCTCCGCTCACCTCTGGTGCTTGTCAAATCAAGAGGGCTCGCTTTGTGCCTGCTCCGCCCACGTCGTTCCCTGTCCAATCAGCAGGGCTGTCCCAGTGGTCGGCCCGCCCACTTCTCGTCCCCGACCAATCGGCGGGGCTCCAGAGCTCTGCGCGCGCTCCGTGCGGGCGGTGGGCGGTGTCGGCCGGGCGAGGCTCCGGGCCCTCCGGCTCCGCCTGGCCGTGGGCGGGGTCTGCGCGGCTTCTCGGTCCCCGGCCGCTCGGTGTGCCGGTCTGCCGCGTGCAGCCCGCGGCCGGGGCCGGCGCGGCGCTAGCGGCCGTGTCGTTCGGGCAGGAGAGCCTGGCCTCGGAGACGAGCCTGAGCGCCGAGCAGGTCTACAACTGGTTCGCCAACTACCGGCGGCGCCAGCGCGCCCTTCTGCAGCGCGCGGAGCCGGCCCCGGACGCGGCTGCGGACCCCGGTGCGAGGGCGAGGGTCCCGCACGCCCCGGGGCCCCCGGGCCGCCCCCGCGTGGGCTCCGGGCGTGGGCACCGGCCTCTGTGGTCAGGTGAGTGGCCCCTCTCCGCACCCGGTGTCCGGGCCGTGCCTTGGTAGGGCCCCTCTGGTCGCAGGGGAGTCCCCACACCCTTCTGCGCGTTCGGGGCGAGATCGCTGAAGCGGATAGTCAGGTGGGGCTGCGGCCGCCGTTTTGCGTTTGGAGGTTACTTTGGGGCCAGGGCCAGAAGTCAGTGAGTGGATTTAGGAAGTGAGCCAAGCACCAGGCTTTAGGGTGCCCCGGGTTCAGATCAAGGGGCCGAGAATCTTGGGATGACTTAGTGGCGACACCGTTTCCCGGCCAGTGGGGCTGCTCTTAACCTGCTGGGAAGGAGGCTGGGACTCGAGCATCACCGTCTTCCCCTCTGATCGGCTTTCAGCAGGACCTGAGGAAAATGGGCCTGTACAGTCTCCGGAGACGACCCAAGGGCCATGGGAGCCTCTGGCCCTGTCCCTGGACTTCTCTGGAGATGAGACTATGCCACAGCCAGTGGCTCCCAGGTACTGCCATCCCCACAGGCCGTGTGACCATCTCCCTGTTCAGCTCCCCATCCTCGGTTGGAGACCAGGCTTGGCGTGGAATTGCCAGGGCCGCATGCTAGGACCAGGTCACTGGCAGCTGACAGCAGAGACAACTGTGACCCCAGGGGTGGTGGAGCCATTGGCAAGGAGCCCACATCAGGGACCCCACACTTGCTCCTTGGAGCCTGTCTCACTGTCTCACAGCCTGACTTCATGTGTATTGGAGAATGGAGAAGCCAGACTTAGAAAGAAAAACAGGCAGACTTACCTCCTTAAGGCAACCTCAGCTGTCCTTGTGGTTTATTTCTAGTATCTTGTATGGTTTGTATTTCACTGAGTTAGTAACAGCCAACATTTCCTGAGTTCCTGCTACCTACCAGGCACTGTCCAAACACTTTCCCTCACCCTACACTCCTGGGATGAGGCACAAACCTGATGGGAGGACAAGGCGAGTGCCGGCTGGCAGAAGGACTAGGCCTGAGCCCGGGGCCAGGCCCGGGTCTTGTGTAACCATCAAGCTGTGCCCCGTTTTTCCATTTGCTCTTGTGACAGCTTCTCTCATGACACTACCCGAGCCTGGCACCTCACATCCAGGCTGGCCTCACCCAAGTGTGTGACCTTAGGCAGGTTCCTGTGACCTCTCAGTGCCTCACTTTTCTCTCCTGTGAAGTGGGGCTAGTGATAGGACCTGCCATGTGGGTTGTTGCAGAGATTATAGAGGTGGTGGGGAGGAGTTAACAAAAGACCAAGAGCATCATCTGAAACACAGTGAGCATTTGTGGAATATTAATCCTTTAAATTATTATCAACTGCTGCCTAATATTCCTTTAAGATCAGCTGTCATTTATTCACTCAGCTATTAGGCTTTTTTAGTTGTTTTCAGTTTTCAATATTGTGGAACAATGCTACATTGAAGGTCCTTGTAAATAAACTGCTGATGTATTATAGGTTTCCAGTAATAATATATTTTTTTTGTGAGGAAGATTATCCCGAGCTAACATCTGTGCCAGTCTTTTTCTATTTTGTATATAGGATGCGCTACGGCATGGCTTGACGAGCGGTGTGTAGGTCTGCGCCCAGGATCTGAACCTGCGAACCCCTGGGCCGCCATAGTGGAGCATGCGAACTTAACCGCTATGCCACTGCCTGGGTCCCATTCAGTAATAGTATTTTTTAAGCATCTCTAGAACTCTTGCAGCCACAGAGAGAACAGTGAAGGCAGTGTGACTAGGGATGTGGTGGGTGATTAGGAGTGTCAGTTGCAAAGTTGAGTCAGGAACCCAGATTTCCAAACTGGCCTGGAGTCTCCTCCCAAGCCCCACTGCCCTGGCCTGAGGAACCTCGGCCTGCTAAGGGATGGTGTCTGCTGTGTTCCCCAGGTCTCTGCAGGGTGCTGAGATGTACCAGGAGGGGCCTGGCCATGGTCCTGCCACTCTCCCTGCCGTCTGCCCTGGCTCTGGCCTCTGCCCTCTGGCTGTTGGCAGTGATGTGCTGGACCCCTCCCTGGCTGCCCCTGAGTCGTGGCTGATGTCCCTTGCACTGGCATCCTCCAAGGAAGTTTCCTTCCAGACTGGGCAGCTGCTCCACGGTCACGGGCTGGACTTCATGACGCGCCCTGCAGACGCTGCTGTCACTGTGTCCATCACTGCCCTCGGCGAGCCCAGCCCCACAGGTGGGTCTGCTCCAGACAGAGCATGAGTTTTTGAGCCAGATGCTGGAACTACGTGGGTCTCATTTGAGGGGGCGGAAGTGTGGAAGAGCCAGAACTTTCTGCTGGAAACCCTGTGTGTTTGATTAGACCCAGAACCAGTGCAGCTGGAACAGATTCTCTTCCCACAAACATCCCAGATACTTCTTGTTATTTTATTTTGTAAAATAAAATATACACGTCTGAAAAATAAGACAGTGAGGAAAGAGTTAATGAAATGAACCAGCTGCCACCCCAGTGCTTTCCTCTCCAGTCCACCTAACTGACCTGTCCACATGCCTGCCGCAGAGGAGAGCGGAGTCTCTTAGAGCCCCACCTCTCCTCCGCTCTCATCTCATGATAGAAATACCATTATTTTAGTTTCTTTCTTAGTTATCATTGTAGATATAAATACCTGTAAAGAATACGTATTTAGATACATTTTTCATCCACCAAATACAGTAGTGTCTTGTGACATCCTTGTGAGGCTATTGGCACTATGAATTCAGCCTGTCACCAAAATTTCTTAGTCCTCTATGGTTATAGACGTGTTTTCTTGGACGTGTTTCCAATTGCTTTTTTTTCCCTTACATTGCCTGCATTTGTCACATCCTTCAGTCCGCTCTGAAGACTTGCTGCTGGGAGCCCTCCTTCCCCATCCCAGTGATGTCTCCCTGGGCCTGGGATGGAGCCGTCGTCCCAGAGCTCCTTGAGTCGCTTCCCTGGGTTTGCTCCAGTGTTTCCTGAATTGCAGATCTAGTTCTTTCCTGTTCTTGTTCTTTCCTGATTACTCAGCAAAGAACAAAACAACTTGTGCAAAGTTGTCTTCAGTTAACTTTGCAAGAAAGGGTGCCTGTAAGATAAATCTTCTGAGTCCTTGCATGTTCTGAAATTGTCTTTAATCTGCTTTCACATTTGATTAATAATTTGGCAGAGACAGAATTCTGAGTTTGAAATACTTTCTCCCTTAGAACTTTGAAGGCATCGTGTCGTCGTAGCCTCCAGTGTTGATAAGTCGGACCTCATTCTGATAGTCACTCCTTTGCAGATCACCTGTTTTTCTTTTCCTGGAGTTTTTTTAAGTCTTGGTGTTCTGAAATTTCACAGTGATGGTCCTAGGTGTGAGTTTTTTAAAATTTACCATGTTGTTAAGCCTTTCAATTTAAAGAACAAGAGAACAAGTTCTCCTTTAAGCTATGGGCATTTGTTATATTCTTTGATAATTTCTTTGATAATTTTCTCCCTCCATGTTCTCAGTTCTCTCTTTAGAGCACGAATGTTATTTAGATGTTGGAAATCCTGGACCAATCTCCCAAAATGCTTCCCTATTTTCTTATGTTTTTTTTCTCTTTTTGTCGTATGTCCTTTTAGGGCTATTTTTAAACTCTGTCTTCCAATATTTTGTTTTAACACTTATATTTTGACAGTTATATATCCTAAGAGAATTCTAAGTTCTCTTTTCTTATCTCTGAATTTTCTTTTCTTCATAGATCATCTTACTTTTTTTTTTTTTTTTTTAATTGAGGGAGGTGAGCCCTGAGCTAACACCTCTGCCAGTCTTCCTCTATTTTGTATGTGGGATGGTGCCACAGCATGGCTTGATAAGCGGTGTGTAGGTCCACGCCCGGGATCTGAATCTGTGAACCCCAGGCCACTGAAGCAGAGGGCGTGAACTTAACCACTATGCCAGTGGGCCAGCCCCATCATGTTAGTTTTTATAGATGCAATAACTTATATTTCTCTGAGTATCTTAATTAGAAGTTTCAAAAAAGTATGCTTTGTTGTCTGAAGGCAGGAATATTGGGACTGTGGATTTTGGCCCTTCCTTAAATAGAGAAGGATGAGGGGCCACAGAGAGGAAGGGACCTGGAGACTCGTTCCTCTGGAGGCAGCTTTTCAGTTTGATCACGTTGGTCTTTCATTTCTTGCTGACCATTTTTTTTCACTGTCAGAGGCTCAATGTCTGTTTGTCTGCATGGACTAACAAGGCTGGAGTGGGGCACTCGCTGGCCACCTTCCCTCTGGGCCAAGGGAGGCTGGTCTTCACCCCAGGTGCAGCACGCCGAGGGGTGACGTTCTCTGGGGATCGGCGAGCTTCCCTGCCGACTGCCTGAGCACCAGGACCTTAGCCGCTCGCCCTCGCTGCTCCCTCCCTTCCTCCAAGCTCCTCAGCTCCTGCCCTACACCCCAGCTTCCTTTCAGGTTCCCCACCATCTTGGGACTGTACTTGTGCCTGAGCCTGCAGAACTGTGGACACGCCCACCTGCTAATTATCCCCCACGACACTCCCTTTGTTCTGAGCTTGTGGCTTTGTACTGCTGTTTCTTTTGGTGAAGAAGATATAACTCATTGGTCTATTGTGTTTGAACCAGAAGTGTTCAAATTAGCACTAAGCTGTGTTTATCCCTCAGGTTATCTTTCGATAACCTAGTTCTGCAGGAAAGAGGAAACAGCAGAAAGTGGAGGTGGAGTCATATACCGAATGGTCGGGAAGGTTCCCTGATCTGAGAAGGTCTGGGCAGCTGACTGGCAGGAGGGCAGGCAGTGTGGGCCCAGCCCGGCTGGCCTGGGATTCCGGCTCTGAGCTCAGGGACTCTTAAGCTAGTTTCACCACCTGGTAAACTCAGGGCAGAAACGAACCTTCCTTCTCTGCTCACTTTGCTCCTAAATGTCTGTCAACCCAGACCTGATCAAATCCACAGTGGCTTGTCTTAAGAGTGAAAGATATTCTGAGATGTTGTCTGAAACGTCTTAAGTAGAGAGGAAGAGTGAGATGAGATAGTGACACCTGGCACCTCAATGAAATCTAAGGGAAAAGCTAAAAATGATAGCAGCCGAGAGCTGGCAGCCCAGCTTTTGATGAGCCGGTACGAGAGACACTGAGAGAAGTGGACTGCCCACGTCCCCTCCTCCCGGGGTGGCGGGTATGGGCAGATGCAGTTCCGAGTCTGGCGCTGGGGGCCGGCATGAGGTCTGGAAGGATGAAGGAAAATTTGAAGTCAGCAAAATTTGACTTTGCTTTGTTCTCTGGAAGCCCAAGGAGGCCATTGACATCAACAGTTGTGGCCATTCCTTCCTCAGTGCGGGAGGCTGAGGCCAGGGCTGGCCAGGCTGGACGCTGACCCTCTGTGGGGTCTTGGTTGTGCTGCACGGGAGCTGTGCTTCCTCCCAGCATTGGGTTATGGGATTTCTTCCATTCAGGATTCGCTGACGCACCTAGAGGCAATTCCCGGAGCACGTACCTGGAGGAGGGTCCAGGCACGAGTGGTGGCCACGCAGAACAACAGGCAGGCAGCTTCCTGGTGACACAGCCCCCACCGCAGGCTCCCGAATTCATCCTCACCCCGAGGTAAGCCCTGCAGAGCCCCGGGCTCAGGTGAAGCTTCCTACGAAGCTTTCTTTATCTGTGGGTAGGGTGGTGCTTGGTTTATAGACTCGCCATCTCAGACGGTGCAGGGCGAGTCCTTTTCTTACAGATTTCTGGACACCACGGCAGTCCCCCTGGCCTGCATCTGCCAAAAGAAGAGGGTAGTTTTTCCCTCAGATAGAAGAACGCCTGGAAACACCAGTGCAGACATGGGCATCTGTCCTGTGGACGCTGCTCAGGCCTCGCTTCTTCCCCAAGATCGCCCTGGGCCCCAGCAGCCTCTTTCTAGCATTTTCTTTTTCTCAATGACTGTCATAGTTTCTGAGCAGCATGAAGATCCTGATTGTATATTCCAAATTGTAGTTTTGAAAGGGCTTGGGAGGGCCGTGAACAGCCTAGGTGCTGTAGACTGGTCTGTGGGGACCAGGACAACAGGCCAGGAGACTGCAGAGGCGGAGAGGAGGGATGGAGGAGCGTGGCAGGTGCTCTGGTGGAGAGGGAGTCTACCTAGGGACCACCAGGACCAAGTCCCCAGGGTTCAGGGTCTCTCTAATCTGAGAGCTGAAGGCCAGGTTCCCAGTGAAGGGAGAGTTACAAGGGACATGCGAGGGGGGGGGAGCAGCCCCCCAAGTCACAGGCTCTGGTTGCTGAAACAGCCAGATGGTGAGAAAATCCAGACCATGCAGAGGGCTCACTGTTCAGTTATGAGCGGGAGCCATGATGGAGCAGATTGCACCCAGGGTCCCCTCGAGGCTTGCCTGGCCTCTCCACTGGCTGTCTCACCCTTGGACTCCAGTGCCCCCGCCCATCCTTGCTCTGATCTGATGACCTTGATTTTTTCTTTAAAAACAGCTTCATTGAGACATAATTGCATACAGTAAACCAGCCTGTTTAGATGGTACAAGTGGCAGTTTTCTGAGTGTGACTAACGTCTCCACCATGAAGCCATAACGGTGCTGAAGGTCGTGAGCCACTTAGGTCGTTCCCAGCCGCCTCTACCCCCACCACCCCCAGGACCACGGATCTGCTTTCTTTAGCTGCATTTTCCAGAATTTCATGAGTGAAATCATACAGTATGCACTTTTTTTTGGGTCTGGCTTCTCTCACTTGGCCTGATGACTTTGAGATTCACCTCTGTAGCGGCATGTATCTGCAGTTCCTTCCTCTTTATTGCTGAGTCCTGTTCCTTGTGTGGATGGACCACAGTTTGTTGGCCCTTCAGCTCTTGGCGGGCATTTGGGACTTCGCTTGGGCTGCTGTGAGCCATCCTGGACACATGTTGGTCTGCACGTTCGCCTTTGTGTCTCTGGGGCGCATGTACCCCTAGGAGTGCAAGCCTGGCCTTTCCTTTTTTTTTTTTTTTTAATTTTTAAAAATTTTTTGTGAGGAAGATCAGCCCTGAGCTAACATCCATGCCAATCCTTTTTTTTTTTTTATGGGATGCCGCCTCAGCATGGCCTGACAAGCAGTGTGTCAGTGCGTGCCCGGGATCCGAACCCGGGCCGCCAGCAGCGGAGCGCACGCTCTTAACCACTATGCCACGGGGCTGGCCCTGACCTTTCCCTTTTGGGGGAACTGCCCGACTATTGTCCCGAGTGGCTGCACCTGTCACCTGCCCTGCTCTCCCTGCTCCTCCCCCTGATTTGGTCCTAATGGCCTCTTGTCTTCTTCACCCCCCAGGCCTGTCCCTTCTTTGTGACCTTCTCTTCACGTTTCTGCTTGCCGTCCCCTTCTCTGTGAGTCTGCTCTGACATGCCCTCTGACCCACCTGAGCCAGCTGTCGAGGTGTGACATAGGCCCCTCTGGCACCCGCACAGCGGAGGGCCTGCGGGGAGACTGTCCCTGCAGAGCCTCCAGTACCTGCAGGGCTCCTGCTGTGCAGAGAGCTCTCAGGGCCTGTTGCTCACAGGGGTCAGCGTGACCTGGCGCCCCCTTGAGACAGGGCCTGGCTGTGACGCTGTCTCTTTTCCAGCGCCCCAGAGCTGGCACCGGCCCCGTCTGCCTTCCCCGGCCCTGTGTCCACTGTGGAGCTGAGCCAGCCCCTGCCCTCCAGCCAGGTGAGGCCCTCCTACCAGTTACTGCGGGTTTCCCTCCTCACTCCTGGATCCTCAACTGGTGCCTCTGGAGTGAACAAACCGGGCAACGATGAACAGGGGTAGGGATGCCTCGAGGCTGGACGTCAGTGGAACAGGAGCTGGGGGGCAGTGTCTTGCGGCAGTGTTTCTTACTGAGTCCAGATGTGGTGGGTCCAGGGTCAGAGGTGCCCAGGTGGGAAGGCAGAGTCAGGCAGAGGGTGCCTCTGTGTGTAATGCTGTGTTGGCTTTCCAGGCGCAGTGGCCCGACAGCCAGGCCTCCAGTGATGCCTTCTGGGGAGCCAGGATGCTCCTCGAGCTTTCAGGGGGTAACCTGGGCTGAGCTGCCCCTTGGGAACCCAGCCAGTGCCCAGGGGAGCAGGTGTGGACACCCGGCTGTTCAACACAAGTTACAGTTTTATCCAGACTGAAAAAAAGGTTCCCCAGAGTTCTGGGGGTTCCGCCAAGAAGCACTGAGAGCTGTGTAGCCCCCTGCTGTGTTTGAATAGTTTGTTTGCCAGCTTCTCCCTATATCAGAGGAAGCATTTGAGAAATGTCCCTGAGATGAGGAGTGGAAGGGGGGTCTGCTTCACTCAGGCCGCGGCAGATCACATGCTCCTGGGCAGGTTCTGAGCAGTCAAAGATCTTTCTGGAGAGGAGGATGTTCCGCTGCTGGCCACCCTCCCCCGTCCTGTGACAAGGCTGAACTTCTCCACCCAGTTCCCTTGGTGAGTGAGGCGTGGGCAGCGTTCTGACGTCTCTGTGTCTGTGGGGGCTTCTACAAAGAGGCAGCTGTGGTTGGGGACCATCCCTAGGGTGGGCCAGGGTGCGTTTTCCCCTCAGGTTGTAATTCATTGTGTTTGCAAGACAAATGTTGTATTCAATTAAATTAAAGTTTTATGTTCTGAACTCCCCCCTTTTATTCACTTAACTATAACCTGGACACCTGTCCCTGTCAGTCCCTGGCTAGCGTTTCACAGCATGAGTGCACATTAATTGACATATCGTTAGGATTGTTTCTGATGTCTCTGTTTTATAAGGAGACATCTCTGCCATCTGCTCTTTATCGAGTTACTTTGTTGTGGGAACAAGGAATTGCCCCGTGGTGAAATGGTTGTGCCCAAGCCCACTGGGCCCCGGGGGCCGAGTGTGGTGCGTCCTGGCACATCTGACCCCCTTCTCCACGTGTGACTTTGACACTCAGGACTGTCACCTCTAGGAATAGGCCCGTGATCCTCGCCTCCCCCATTGTGTTAGTCGGCAGATGTGTGCTGAGCAGCTTGTGTGAAACAGCCGGGAGCAGAGTCAGGTTTGTGCCCTCGGGCCTCACAGGATCATGGGGAAGACAGGAATAAGCAGGCAGTTATGGGTAGTTGCCGATAGGATGATGTGAAACAAGGGGCTGCTGAGAACCCAAGATGTGTGGAAGCACTTGAAAGATGAGACACTGGGAGCCTCCTGGGAGGGGGTGTCTCAGCTGAGACCTCCCACAGCTCAAGGGTGCTCAGCCTCACTCCCCTTTCACCCCCACTCTGCAGACCTAACACCCATCACGTCCCACCTTCATCGCCAGAACTGCGTATCCGGGCATCAGTAATAACGTGTACTTCCACCAGGGACGTTCCCTCACATTCCATGTTCCCTAAAACCACAAATATTTCAGGACCTCGAGGGCGTTATGCTAAGTGAAGTAAGTCAGACGGAGAAAGACAAATTCTGTGTGACTTCCTCATATGTGGAAGATAAACAAAGATAGATACGGAGAGCAGATCGGTGTTACCAGAGGGGAAGAGGGTGGGGGAGGGCGAAAGGGGTCAGGGGCACGTGTGCACGGTGGCGGATGGAAACTAGACTTGTGGTGCTGAACATGGTGCAGTCCATACAGAAGCTGAAATAGAATAATGTACACTTGAAATTTATATAATGTTATAAACCAATGTGACCGTAATAAAATAAATTAAAAAAATAATAAAATGAAATAAAATCTTTATTTTGAAACAGTTGCAAACTTACAGGAAGTTGCAGATAGAATACAAAGGTCTTTTTTCTTTGAACCATTTGAGGATAAGTGCCTGAGGCCCTGTAGTTCCCCAAATGTATGTTCCCTGCAGGTAAGGACTTCCACACACCCAAGGTCTGACCATCAACTCAGGAAATCAGTGCTGATGCCTACCGCCTTCTCATCGCTAGACCCCGTTAGCGATGTCCCAGTAATGCCATAAATTGCCAAAGTATCCTGTCCCATGTCACGTGCTGCATTAACCTGACGTGTCTTTTGATGCCCGTCAGCTGGAACAGTGCCCTGTTTTTCCTGGACTTTTATGACTGTGACACTTTGGAAGATTACAAGCCAGTTACTCTGTAGAATGTCCCTCAAAGTGACCATGTCTGATGTTCCGTTGTAATTTGGGATATGTGTTTTGGGAAGGAATATCCCAGAAGTGATGCTGGGTCCTTATTGTGTCTTACAGGTAGCACATGATTTGGATTGTCCCATGATTGAGGTGGTTCGTTTTGATTTCATGTTGTCAGCCAAGCTTCTCCGCTACAAAGTTACCCTTTCTCTCTTTGTATAAGTATTTTGGGGGAGGGTGCTTTAAAACTATGTAAATATCCTGTTTCTCATCAAACTTTCTATTAACATTGATTTCCTAATCTGCTTAACTCTCATAATTCTTGAACACACATTTACTTTCACATTTATCCCAACTCTGGAATCTGAAGCATCAACTTTCCCCCATATACATACACAGAGTTAGGGTTAGGGTTAGGGTTGAGGTTGGGGTAAAGGTGAGGGTTGGGGCAGGGTCAGAGTTGAGTCAGGGTCAGGATCGGGGTTGGGGTCAGGGTAGGAGTAGGGTTAGGTTAGGGTCAGGATCAGGGTTAGGGTTAGGTGTTAGGGGTTCGGGTTTGGTCAGGGTCTGGGTCTGTGTCCAGGTTAGGCTTAGGTTTAGGGTGAGGGTTAGGGTTGGGATCAGTTAGGGTTAGGATTATGGTTAGGTGTTCTGGTTGGGGTTCAGTTTAGCATTATGGTTCTGGTTCGAGTTTGGTTTTGGGTTTGTGTTTGGGGTTAGTGTTCAGATTAGGGGTTTGGGTTCAGGTGAGTGTTGGGGTCACGGTTAGGGTTGGGGTCAGGGTTAGGGGTTAGGGTCGGGGTCACGTTAGGGGTTAGGTTTAGTGTTAGGGTTCGAGGTTAGGATTCGGGGTTAGGATTCGAGTTATAGCAGTTAGGGTTTGGGTAGTGTTCAGGTTCCGGTTTGGGTTAGGGTTTAGGGTTCTGGTTTGGGTTTGGGGTATGGCTAGGGCTAGGGCTAGGGCTAGGGCTAGGGCTAGGGTTCTGGTTAGGGCTAGGGCTAGAGTCAGGGCTAGGGCTAGGGCCCGGGCTAGGGTTCGGGTTTGGGTTCAGGTTCAGGGTTCGGGTTAGTGTTTGGGTTAAGGTTTGTGTTAGGTTTAGGGTTCAGGTTTGGGTTAGGATTCAGGTTAGGGTTCCGGTCAGGCTCAGGGTCGGGCTCAGGGGTGGTGGTGGGGTCGGGGTGAGAGTGAGGGTTTGGGTTAGGTTAGGGTTTAGGTTAGGTTAGGGTTAGGGGTTAGGGTTAGGATTAGGTTTCTGGTTGGGGTATAGGGGTTAGGGTTTGGGTTCGGTTTCTGGTTAGGGTTAGGTTAGGGTTCAGGTTAGGGTTTGTGTTAGGGTTAGGGTTAGGGTTTAGGATTCCAGTTCAGGTTTAGAGTGGGTTTGGGTACAGGTTCAGGTTAGGGTCAGGGTCAGTGTCAGGGCTAGGGGTAGGGCTAGGTCTAGGGCCTGGGTGAAGGTATGGATGAGGGTGAAGGTGAGGGTTAGAGTTAGGGTTTGATAAGAGTTAGTATTTGGGTTACAGTTAGGATTAGGATTAGGGTTGTGTTAGGGTTAGGCTTAGTGATAGTGTTAAGGTAGAGGGTTAGGTTTAGAGGGTGAGGGTTACGGTTTGGTTAGGATTAGGGTCAGGGTCAGTTCCAGGTTTAGGTTCAGGGTCAGGGTTTGGGTTAGGCTTTGAGTGTTTAGGGGCAGGGTTAGGGTCAGGGTCAGGGTAAGGTTTAGGGTTTACTGTTAGGTTCAGGGTTAGGGTTAGGGGTTAGGGTTAGGGTTCGGGTTCGGGTTCGGGTTCGGGTTCGGGTTCAGGGTTAGGGTTAGGGTTAGGGTTAGGGTTCGGGTTCGGGTTAGGGTT